CAGAACGGCCCGTTCTGCTACAGTCGTGGTGTGTTAATTTTGCATATAGAACAACCCGTTCTAAATACAAAATTAACACACAACATGTGCAACCAGAACGGGCCGTTCCAATTTCAGAACCGGCCGTTCTGGTTCCAGTTGCATTAATGAAATTTAACATCATATTATATATGTGTTGGGGTAGTAAGGGTGTCACAAATAGGATAAGATGCACGATGGTATTTTGACAATGGACAAATATCACAATTAAAAGACTCAAAAGACTCCCTAATAAACAAATGAGGAAATAAGGATTTGATAAGGTTGAATGAAGGATGTCCAAGCCTTTTATGATGTAGCCATATTTGGGAATTTTCCCACATCTTAGATGTAGCTTGTTGACTTAAGATTTTTGTTTTGCTTTGGTCATCAGGTTCCAACAGATACAACCCACTCTGCTCCTTAGAAGTTAAAATCGTCTTCCCCGTGGCAAGGTCCTGAAAAACACAATAAGTTGAAAAAAATGCTACTGAACAATTTAAATCCTTTGTGAGTTTTTGCACAGAGATAAGACTGTTGGCTAGTTGTGGAACATGTAAAAGATCCTTTAATACAATAGATGATTCCAAAATTATATTCCTAGAGTCACATATAGGTACACCCTGACTATTCGCAACTGTAATAATTTGTTCTCTATTCCTTTTGACATATTAGTCGAAGATCACACGAAAAGGTGTCATATGATCAGTTGCTCCCGAATCAAGAAACCAAATACCTTGAGACATAAGACCAACAATATTATGAGAAATCTTACCTTTCATGGATAAATTACATGATCCAAAGGGCTTACTTATTGATTCAACCATTGCTTTCAAGCGCTTGAGTTCCTCCTTTAAGCTTTCATATCAAGATCTGGTGGTGGTGAAGTACTGGAATGATTGGTGGCTTCTTGTTTTGAGGTAGTATGATTTGCCCATTTTTTAGCAGACCCTTTGTTGTTTACCATGTGCTCAAGAACATTATTTCTTCCATGGATTTTGAAGCATGTTTCCTTGGTATGTCCAGGTCTTCTACAGTATGAACAATAGTCTCCACGATTACCTTTTTCAAATGACTTTCCTCTTATATTTGCTCCCTTGTGGACCCTTTTTCCAGTTGTCATGGCAGAGCTTGTGTTGGAGATCCCCCCATCAAGCATGATAACTCTTCGATTTTCTTCTCCTCTTACCATAAAGAATACTTCTGATAGGGATGGTAATTTTTCTCTTCCTAAGATTTCTACCCTAATTGGGTCGTACTCGTGATTTAGACCATGGAGAAATTTAAAGATTCTTCCTCTTTCTACGGCTTCAAAATATGTGGCAGCATCTATTTTACACATCTTTATTATTTGGTACTGATCTAATTCAATCCAAAGTACATTCAAGATTCTGTGATATTCTAATACGAAAAGAAAGCCATGTTTTGTATTAACCATGCTTTCAATGTCATAGCATGCAACAAAATCCTTTTTTAATGAAAAAGTATTTTGTAAATCATCTCATATCTCTTTAACAGAAGAATAAAACATATAATTTTGACTTATCTCAGAAATCCTGGAATGCCACATCCAAGTCATAATTAGTGAATCTTAATTGTCCCAAATTGGAAAATTAGAGTCATCTGGTCCTGCCCTCCACCATCTATGTTGTCTAGTATTGAACATCCCTTGAGAATCCTTCGAATGTACTGACTTCATTGTAAGAAATTTCGACCATCCAACCGATAGGGACCCACCACATTTGGAAGATCATTAGGACCCAAAGGAATAATTTTTACCTCAGACATCCTTTAGAATGCAATCAGGTGTCTCTGGTGACCCTGTCCACAACGACGACGACGTGTGGGCTACACCGAAAAAAGGAGAAAAACTCAAAACTCATATCTACTCGAATATAGGCCAAATGGGACATCACCGACCTATGGAATGAACTGAGGAGGCTCCGATGACTCGTTTTGTGACGACGACCGCGAGTGGGTCTCGCCGAAGCTAGGTGCGTGGGCTATACACGCCGGTAACGGTGGTGGCGTGTGGTGGTGTCTTTCCCGAAGCGACTTCTGATGTTGTGTTCACTAGAGTCGGGCGCACCTTTCTGTCCTATCAACGACCCCAACGGCTATAACGGCAACTATAGTGACCGAACAGCGGTGGCGGTGGCTACTATTACAACGAAAATGGAGCTTCGAAGATCGGGAGCTCTAATACCAACTTGAAAAAGAGAATGATTTTATTATTATTGTTCATGCATATTACATTCTCATTACACGTATTTGTAA